GTCAATAGATCTGTGCTAATATGATTGAGTGACACACTTCACTTCGAAGTGAGCAATATACTTGACTAGAATCCTAATTAGAACGATTCATTCATGAATAGATCTTTGCCGATGTGATCAAGTGACATATTTCACTTTAAACCGAGCGATAGACTTGAATAGAATCCTGGTTAGCACGATTCGTTGACCAAAAGATTTTTGCCGATGTAATCAAATGGCACACTTCACTTTGAATCAAGCGTTATACTTGAATTGAATCGTCGTTAGCACGATTCATTTGTTATACGATCTTCAACAGTACTATTGAATGACTTACTTCACTTCAAGCAAATGATCTATGTGAATATAAAGTTACTTAGAATCATTCATTCGTCATATGATCTTCAGCAATACTATTGAATGACTTACTTCACTTCAAGGAAATGTCTTATTTGAATAGAAACTTAGTTAGAACCATTCATTTGTCGAACAATCGCTGTTGGTAAGATGAGCTGATGCCATTTGCTTCAAAGTGAATGATATTGTTGAAGATAACAGTTGTTGATGCTAGTTACTGACCTCGTTGAATCGCATTATGTTACATAATTTCATAAGTCAATATGAAATGAATAAGATAGTTGAACAAACTCATACTGAAAGTGATTCACATCCCATGCGCACTCTGGCAGGTAGTATACACTAAGCCTCTATTTTAAAGTGAGTAAGATACTAGAGTAGTATTCTACTTGGAGTAGTACACTCTGGAAGTGATACCTGATCATCAGGAAACTATGAGATTTTTTAAACACAATAGAATAATAATTGAATGGATTTATACTTAGAATAATTCACTATCTATTTCACTGTCAATCATGCGATTTAGTATAAGACTTTATTTCAAACTGAATAATTTATTCGATCGGGACACTGTAAACAATGCAGGTGAAGCTATTTCATTTCTATGTGTTTCTTAGTATGCCGAAAGATGTTGATTTTCGAGAACAGTTCAACGAACTATTGGAATCTAATCACTGTATCACTAATTCATTATCTTAAACATCATCATCCATGTAAACCAAGTGAAGTGCTGGTTTTATTACGAGATTTATTCGAACAGAATCGTACTTCGAATAAGTCATCAGTCATGCAAAATTCAATCAAGAGTTTCACTGTCACTGGCTGCTTGTTAATAATATAAATGAACAAGACTTTGGTTTGAATAATTCAAATGCTATGAGGTGTTCAATCTTGTGTTCTACTGCCATCCATTTCTAGAAAGTAAACTAATTGAACGCGATCTTATTTAGAATAATTCATAAGCCATGTGCTACTCAGTCATATGTTCTGATATAAGCTATCGTATTGGGATAAAATAAATGAACAAGACCTTAATTAGGATTATTCATATGCTATGAACCGTTCAATCTTGTTTTCTATTGCCATCCATTCTTAGAGAGAAAAATAAATGAACAAGACTTGGTTAGGACAATTCATATGCCATGCGCTGTTTTATAGAGTGTTCTACTGACATCAATTTCTAGTGAGTAAAATAATTGAATGCAACTTTTCTTAGAATAATTCATAAGCCATCTGCTGTTTAATCATGTGTTCTGATATTAGTGATTGAATTGAAATAAAATAAATGAACAAGACCTTCCTTAGGATAAGTCATATGCTATGGGCTGTTCAATCTTGTGTTCTAATATTAGCGACCAAATTGGAATAAAATAAATGAACAAGACCTTTCTTAGGATAATTCATATGCTATGAGCTGTTCAATCATATGTTCTGTTACGAGCGGTCGCATTGAAATAAAATAAATGAACAAGACCTTCCTACTTAGAATAGTTCATATGCTATGGACTGTTCAATCATATGTTCTAGTATTAGCCAATGCATTGAAATAAAATAAATGAGCAAGACTATACTTAGGATAAGTCACATGCCATGAGCTGTTCAATCTTCTGTTCCAGTACCACCTATTTCAAGAGAGTAAAATAAATGAAAAAGGCCTTGGTTAGGGCAATTCATTAGCCATATGCTTTTCAATCTTATGTTCGGATATAAGCGATCGCATTAGAATAAAATATATAAACAAAACTTTACTTAAGATAATTCAAATACTATGTGTTGTTCAATCATGTATTCTAATATTAGCAGGGACATTGGAATAAACTAAATGAACAAGACTTTTCTTATAATAATTCATATGCCATGCGCTGTTTTATATTGCGTTCTACTAACCGCAATTGTTAGACAACAAAATAATTCAACGCGACTTTACTTAGAATGATTCATTTGTAGTGCTATTCTCTAACATGATGCTTGTAGTTATTTTTTGGCTGAGACATGTGCGAAAAAGAATAGATCTATTGTTATTGCTATATATTTTTTGCGTAAACTTTTATTGTGGAATATGCCGTTATATTTTTGATGCAATGAAAGCCATATATATGAACAGAAAGCTACCAATTGAAGTGAGTCGTTTGTTAAATAATATTCGATGATACGACCCAGAGACATACTTGGCTTCGAAGTGTTTGGTATATTTGAACCAAACTATCTTTATAATGATTCATCGGCTTTGTGATCAGGCAGTACACGAGGTGATTTTCACGTTGCATTCTATATGGGTTACATAGTTGAAGAGAAAGCGCCGCTCAAAAACAGTTACTTGTGATGCATTCATTATTTTGACAGGCAAATGATACACTAGGCTTCGTTCTGAGGAATTCCTTTGAATAGATATTTTCTCAAAGAAGTTCGCATAGTATATAAGCTAATCTAGTTAAGTAACAGCCAGCCACTACTTGTAGATGATTGATTTATATGAATAGAGTTATATTTAGGATTATTCATTTTTATGATGATTGGTTGTCACATAATAACGACAGAAGTTTTACCTCACAATAAATGGTATACATGAAAGTACAGATTGTTCCTGCTGTTCGTTTATCATGTAATTGGTAATTCGATAACAAAGTTTAGTTATGATTCAAAGTGTTAACTATGGATTGAATGGGATACTTGTTAACATCATTCGGTTGCTGGATGATTTTCAAATGCATAATACTTCCGATAGTTTACTTCAAAGTAAGTACTAAATTTGAACACAAATATTGTTATGGCTATTCATGCGATATGCCATCAATGATATTGTATTATGTTAGAAACTGGCTATTAAGTTTAAAACGAATGTGAACATATTTTATTCAACCGACGGGATAATTTTAGACAATGTCCGAGACGTTGGTCAAGTGACTTCGAACATTATATACTCTCGTTTGGTTTCTTCATATATTCTTACCCAACTTCTTATCTTCATTAACTTTTGATATTATACGAATGCAAACTAATCTTGAAAGGAATTTTTGTCATTTGCACTAATGAAAAGGCTTTTCAGCCGCTAAGAACCATATCTAACGCAAACTCTAATTTAGCTTAGACCACTTTCATATAACATTAAATATTTACAAGATGAACTTTTGAATCTAGAACAGCGAATTCACCTTAGAGTACTAATCGATGGTGAAAATTTCATTAGTAGTTAGTCTCCTTGTTCATAATTGCTTTGTACAGTGCTTTCTCTATCTATTTTCTCGTAATAAATATCATGTTTTTTTTCATTTTAAGAGTCGTATCGTTTTTTTTTTACCTTCAATCATCATTTTTATGTGCTTTAATATTCTCAATAAATACTTTATATCAAAATACGGCAAAGATATATGAAACTATGGAAGATATTGCCTTTCATGCTATGATGAAATTATATAAGTACAAAATTTAGACCTCATGGATCTTCTAATGCTCTTGAAGAGTTATATCATTGCATCTTATACCTACGAAAAGGGCTTTTTATGTTTTATTGTATCTTATAATAAATAAAAGAGCGAGACAGAAGTTATGCAAAATTATTTTTTTAGATATCATTGGTGAAGAAACAATAATTCTAAGCTTCTTGCACGAATATATAGCACTTGATTTATTAAGGATATCTAAGATCAGAACTCTCTATCAAGCTCTTTCCAGTTCATCACAATTGGTTTCCAAGTAGAACTACATATAGGCTATCCATTTCGTGAGTCACTTCTCCGAAACAACTACATTAGCATTGGTCAAAATAGTAATTACTGTCCAAAAATCATATATGTCAAAGCTGAAAGTTGAATTCAATTATTGAACACCTTTTTTAACTATTCAATTATCGAATAGCTGAATTTCAACTATTCCACTAGTCAATTATTCATGAACACCTACAAGCGCATCGCCTTGCACCAGAATGTGGGTATACTCTTCGCTCATACCCACACCCTCTCATCATGTTCTGGTTCTGTGCAAAGTCTTCAGTCAAAACTTAGTTTTCTTGCCATTACTGAGAGTGGATTATAGCATTTTGTTAAACATATGATAAAAGTATAGTATTTCAGAAACAGTAATCTATCATTTTGAGTTCATTTCATCGTATTCATAGCCCTTTACAACTTAAATGATGTACCTAATCTTGATTCAATGGCAATTTGATACTCAGAAATGTTCTCTCGTCAGAAGATTTTTACCTTATAATCAAGCAACAAGAAAAACTACACTCTGTAGAAAATGGATACGTTCGACTAAAAAACACCTTGGCGATTACTTTGTTATCTATACTCGTTGTCACACTAATTTTATTTTGATAGGTAGTAATCTCATTATCCCTAGTTACAATTATTCATTTATTATCATGATTTACTCTTCATTGAACATATTATTTTTGTCTCATCTAATTTATTCTTTCTTCATTGTTCACATCGTTACTTCACTGATAAGTGTTGTTCTTGACATCGGTTACAGTCGATCACTTCTTCATATATTGGAATTATTCTTGTTCGCTGTCTCTCCTTGCACTTCATTAACCTTCATATGATTTGAATACGTCTCATCTGAAGTCATATCAAGGTGTATCTCATGGTGGAATCGAAATATTCACTTAGAATATTTTAACACTTCTCTACCAATTATCAAATTTCGTTTCATCTAAAAGTATGAAAATCGCTTTTGAGAGTAATTTGAACGTTTATCTAGACATTAGCTAACATTGATATAAGATAAATTTATCTGTTTTATTTGCTTTTGATATTTTAGAGTGAATATATTGCACCAGAACGCATTGAAATTGTTTATATTCAGATTAGAGATATAGCTCAAGCATTTGTTTATTGTAACAGTTATAAGGTAAACTACGTAGCTTTTATTTTATTATTCAATTGATAAATATTTTTTTGTATTTGTATAGAGTCACGCAGTGATTCTTGTTGTTCCAGATCCTGATGTACTCTTAAAATATGCAAGTGAACACTACATTTCAGGCAATATGGAAAAATTATGTAAGAAACAAGAAATTAAAGATTTATTTTTCAATGATATAAAAGTGTTGGAAATATCAAATCAATTGAAAGTTTTTGCAATGGTACGTTAGTCTTTTCGAAGGTCTCACAGAAAATAAAAGTTTGTGAGATTAAAACGATCTGAATTAGTGAAATATTTTGAAAAACAAATTGATGAAATGTACAAATATATTGAATTAGATATTATGCATATATTCATTGTTTGAATCTGGTGACGCATTTGCCAAGGAATATTCTTTGTCGCTTTCTTGTTTTTGTTTTTCATTCATTCAAAATCGTCCTCGTATTTGTTTTGTATTATCTTCTTATTTTATTTTGCATGTTCATTCTGGCGGATAGCATTATTAGCTGATTGATTCTTTGACATACACTTATTTTATTTATTTATATTCCGTTTACGATTGTCATGCATTGTATAGACTGGATCTGATAGCATGAAACACAGGTATATACAGTTGTATTTTTTTGCGTTGATTTCTTCTTCCTATTAACTTTATTTTATATTATTCTATGTCTTTATATTTTATTTCTTTCACATTCTTTGAAAATATGCGTATCTTTACATAATAATAACCAATAAAACAAAACAAAATATAGAATTCTCAATTTAACCCGTTGACTCTCGGTGACGTATATATACGTCCTGATATCTAGCTTAGAATATTCATGACATATAAATACATCTGATTGTAGTCATTGAACAACTATGTCAGTGGTGTATTCTTTGATTATTTGGAAAAGCGTTTTATCTGTTAGATCACGGACTAGGGTCGTAACATCATGCTAGAAATCTATAGTCGCTATACTTGATACAGTGAGGGGTCAAAAAAAGCATGTACATTTTTGTTTTTACGCATAAACGAATAATAAGGATACTCTGAAAATTTTCTCTCATATGTAGAGTTTTGTTCAGTTTTTTATGCTCTTTCATATGAAAGCGTTGGAATTTAAAAATAAATCAAAATTTTATTAATTAATTGCTAATTATTATTAATTATTAATTAACCATTAATTAATTAATTAACTGCAATATGAGTATAAATGCTTGCTACCAAAATGTAGCCCATTAAATTCTGCGTCGAATGGTATATAGAACATCTTTCAGATGTTGTGAAATAACGTAAAAATTAGCCAAATACTAAAAGTGTGCTAAACTTTTTTCCCTACTTTATGTTACATTGTTTAGTATTTTGACTATAACATCGTCATTACTCCATGAAAATCAAAAACTTTTTTTATCAAAATGATCAGTTAAAAAAGCTCTACAAAGTTCGATATGAGAGAAAATTTCAGAATATCCTTATTATTCGTTTATGCGTAAAAACAAAAATGTACATGCTTTTTTGACCCCTCACTGTATACACTCTCTTTCGTTGTTCTACATTTGGATAGTATGGATCACAATTTTCTTTCGTTTCTGTATATTCATATACATTTCAAATGCGTGACTTTACTGGTGGTATATTCTTCGCGTATTGATTTTTTCTTGTATGATTGTTCACTCGTGGCTTATCATTATTTTGTAATTTTCAAGCATGGAAAAATTCCTTCTCTTTATCATTTTATAGTTTTGCGACCTGTAAGGCCATAAAGGTCACAGGTTATCCCGCTACCAACCTTTTACATATATTTTCTCTCTTTCTTCCTGTCATGTAGATCCTTTTCCTTTCTTTTACTGATACACATGACATCATGTTTTTCTTTCTTTGGTATTCTCTTTCAGGAACTTTCGAGTAGATTTTCACTCTCTCTCTATTTCTCTAGTATATATAGCCGTTTGTGTTCTCATTCTACTCAATCTAGTCATATTCTAGTCATTGTGATTCAACTATCGTTGTTATTGTTTCTCTTTCACTACGACATAGCAGTCCACTATCGTTTTCAGAATGGCCGTTTCAAGAAGTTCGACTGAGCAAGAAATTAGGAAAATTATTAAAAATTCTGAATCCGATTAATCATCAGAAGATAAAGTTCTAACGGCTTTTAGTAGCATATCCACTGATTCTGATGATGCAGATGTTTCAGCGGATCGTTGATGGCAATGTGGAATATTTTGTCCAACGATACCACTGTTTAATGGTGAACCTGGTGTACGTGATTCGATTCCACTTGCAGGAAGATCATCACTAGATTATCTCCACCTATTTTTTGATGAGACTATCATGCAACGCATAGTTGACGAAACCAACCGCTACCATTCACACTATCCAGTAGGTGAACGGCAGCATATGGCTAACTGGCAAGATGTAACCTCAAGAGAAATGTACACATTCCTTGCAATAACAATGCATACTGGACCTATCGACAAAAATAGGATTCAAGACTATTGAAGCACTGATCCGTTGCTATTAACGCCCATATTCGATCAGTATTTTACAAGAAATCGATATCAAGATATTCTGCGCTATTTATGCACTTTTCAAATAACGAGGATATTTCTGGCAACGACCGTTTCGAAAAAATCAGGCCCATTATAAATAACTTCAGGTGGAAGTTTGCACACTATGTCAATCCAACACGAAATCTTTATATTGATGAAAGCCTCATTTTATGAAAAGGAAGACTTGAATTCAAACAATATATTCCATCCATTCGTTATCGATGTGGAATCAAATTATTTGAGCTCGTTGATTATCAAACAAAATTTATCCTGGACCTCCTCGTTTACACAGAATTAAGTACAAAGTTTCAAAATACATACAGACTTGGAATAGGTGGATCAATCGTTATGCAACTCATGCAGCTTTATTTGAATAAAGGGCACAACTTATACGTTAACAATTCGTATACGAGTCCAGCAGTTTTTGAGCTGTTACGTCTAAATAGGACCGGTGCATGTGGTACTGTTCGTACAAATAGACAAGAATTGTCATGTCTCACAGCTAAATTGAGAAGTAGCGAGCAGCAGTATTCTGATACTAATATTTTGCTTGCACTCAAATGGCAGGATAAACGAGAAGTTCTAATGCTCACAACTATTGATCCACCGGCACATGTAAATTCAGGCAAAATAGATCGGCGAACTGGATAAGATATTCGAAAACCTCTTTTCATTGTCGATTACACTAAAAATAGGGATGGAGTTGACTATGTTGACATGAAAATTTCATTTTTAGAATGCTTAAGAAAATCAGTAAAATGTTATAAGCAACTTTTTTTCACCTTTTGGTCATGGCACTACATAATGCATTTGTAATTTACAAAATGCAGAATAATAATTCGTCCCATCTATCTGATTTTCGGCTTGACGTCATCTGAGAAATTTTGACAAAATACGGACCGCAAAGACCAACTAACATTGGAAGACCGTCGAGAAGAGATTCTCCTCTTCGTCTCACTGCTCGACATTTTCCTTCGCTTATTCCACAAACATCACAATCAAACCAACCTCAAAGAAAATGCGTGGTTTGCACACCCCATAATGTTCGATGTGATACACGATATACGTGTGCCGACTGCAATGTGCCTTTATGTATTATTGATTGCTTTAAAGACTATCATACAAAAATGAACTACTAAGGCTTCTTTGACACAGAAATGTGATTTCTCTCAAAAAATAAATAAAAATCACATTTTAACGTTTCTTATAAAAAATTTGAATTTTCGCAGAACTAGCCGGGAGTCAACGGATTAACAAGTGAGACGTTAATGATAAAGCGTTGAGCCTCTCTTGCATTGGTGCTACATCAAAGAGTTGCCGAGATATATAATCAATGTGACCAAAAAATAAATCACTCATGATAGCCGTATCTTTTTTTCAATGATCAAAATTTTGAAGCCATCAGTTTTATGTAAATTTGGTGGAAATACTTTATCGATAACATTTTTAATGTCTTTAATAAAGTTTTCCGATACACGATATGGTGGCTTTACAACGTCTGATATTTCAATAAACGGATATACATCATCATACCATAGATTATTCCTAATTGATCGAAATCGAGCAAAATTGAATATGAAGCTGGAAAGAACAAACAAATATATTAACATAGATAGGAAAAGCATAATTTGCTGAGGAATTTTGCTTGAATTTTGAAGTTAATGATAGCTTCATGTACTTGTTTTTCAGTTAATTGTTGCTGTTTGCCATTGATTGTAAACTCGTTTGAACATGTAATAAAAGACACTTTTACTTTGTTCGAATGTAGCATCAACTTCAAGTTCTTCAAGTTTAATTTCAATTTGTGATAGTAAATGACAGTATTAACCTTTTACTCATTTGTTTTTTTTTCAGATTTATCATATAAATTTTGTCTTGTCATATTTTCAACTTTTCCGATTAGTGTAGAAACTGTAGAAACATGTTGAGGAGATGAAACCATATTAAAAATAACACCAGACGACCCAGCATTGGTTTTAATCGCTTTCATATAGGACACGCATAATGGGTGAATCTATTATGTGCTCCACTAGTACCATTGTCTCTATTCGTTTATTAAAATCAAGAAAATAATGAAGTCTTTTCACATCTCACTTACTCGTAATGTTGTTGTGATACACGTGCGTATGGATCACCAATACTTGCATCGATGATGGAAGCACGACGTTCTTCTGGGATGACACATGATGTTGATAAAGTTGATCTGTTTTGGTATTTATTATCATCAAACATTTGAACAAGCGTATTGACGTTTCCGACAAAATGTGGATCATTGTATCGGTTACCATAAACACCTAAATTAGAGAGAAGTGTATCACACTCTGTCGAACACAATAAATGATTGCCATAGATCAAACTTCGATAGACATGAAGTGCTGTTGCCTTTAAAAAAAATCCATATGAGGAGTTAAAGCCGACGATTTGCCACTGCCTATAATGTTGCAGATATTCAACATTAAGGAAGCAATACAGCTTGGAATAAACTAACCTGATGTTGCTATCATATGCCCAAACATATTGATACCATCAAGATTTCCACTATTAACATGGTGATAATAATATGAATTGTTATTGATAGCAGACAAATAATGTAATAATATAAACGAATATGAGCAATTGATAATTTAAACGGGTTTTAATTTAATGCAGCTATTTTGATATAGAACATATTTATTTTATTTAGACAAAGACTAAAATTGAACAAATACATTTAGAAATATCTGTTTTCATTAAGCTATGAATTTTCGATCTTTTTGTTTAAGATCATCTTCAGGTTTGATGTTTCATATGTATAATAACATGATATTGTTTGATAAATATAATAATAATAATAATAAGTCAAATCACCATCACCATAATCACCTAACACTTATTCTTTTAACCAAGCTCGTGAAATCTGCTAATGTCTAAATAAAACAAATCTGTTGTATATCAAAAATAGCTGCATTAAATTGAAACCCGTTTAAATTATCAATTGCTCATATTCGTTTATATTATATTACTACATTAGCAGATTTCATGAGCTTACTTAAAAGAATAAGTATTAGGTGATTATGGTGATGGTGATTTGGCTTATTATTATTATTATTATATTTATCAAACAGTGTCATGTTATTGCACATATGAAACATCATACCTGAAGATGATCTTAAACAAAAAGATCGAAAATTCTTAACTTAATGAAAACAGATATTTCTAAATGTATTTGTTCAGTGTTAGTCTTTGTCTAAATAAAACAAATATGTTCTATATCAAAATAGCGGCATTAAATTGAAACCCGTTTAATGTAATAATATATACAAATTCAGACCTTTGCCTACATTGAAATCTCTTGACCAATAGGTCAAAAGTAGCCTTCTCAAAAGAAGTTAATTGTAATAAGTTTTTTAAACGGACCGAATATTTCTTAATCGGAACACAAACGAGCACGGGTTTGTGCATGCATCAGGATAAAATCACGTAATGATGGCTTTTGTAAACATGACGATATATTCAAAAAAAAATCAATTCCAAGTGAAAATATATGAATAAATATGGAGATGAATAGATGTTAAAACGAAATTTAAAAAAAATAGAGCCCAGGTGTATAATTTGATATAATATTATAATATCCACAGGACGAACTTCGATTTGTACTATATATTGTAAAAGAGATAATATATTTATCTTTCGATCGTAGACATCAAAACACGAGATAAACAAATTCAAACTTGGATAAGTACCTGATGCAGTACCTATTTAAAGCAACACGCAACGAGAGAGAGACAGAAAACAAGAAAGAAATGAAAAGAAATCATATATAAACAAATGATTACGAGCTGGAACTATTGTTCGCGATAGTGAAAGACATAGCAAATCATAGAAAAACTAATCGGAATATATATACGTCCACGGCCGACAATGCAGTGAAGAAAAGAAATAACATGCATCTACATTTATTCACTATAATCTCTACGCACAAAACAATAAACAACACACATCAAGGTCATATCAGACAATAGAGATAATGCGTAAGATCAACATCATACGACTATCCATCTTTTATCTAGATAAATCAATGACGAAAAGAGGGCTGCCTTCGAATTATAAATTCTGACTTATGTAAAATGTTATCTTTTGCTTTTTTATTATTTTAACATGCGTGCGATATTGTTTTTGATTTTTCATTTATATTCGAACTCGAACTAGGCATCAATGCTTTACTGCCGTGGTGATTTTACACACCTCATCGGTGATAAACTACTATTTTCTGATAGTTTTCTGTATTTAATATTTGATTTATCTTCTATAGATAGATCATTCATGCAAATACTTGCCACTTGATACGACTCTTCAAAAAAAATCGAAATACTTTCGTATCGTGGTAAGTTTACACATCAACACCCACCCTAATAATCGATTGTAAAGATACCTGATAAAGACTCTTAAGCAAGGTCGAAACGCGTCGTGCCGATGCTTTCAGTCTAAAAAGCTTTAATAATTAAAAGTTTTTCTATTTTAAAATTTGATCGACATACAGTTATTCAGATTCCGAAGTTACATGATGAGTGGCTCTTTAGCAAGACCGAAATGCGTCGTAAGTATGCTTGGTTTCTAAAAAAATTCAATTTTATACACCCGCACCCAATTTCTTTTGGATTTTGAATCGTTACTTGTGCCATCTGAAGAGCCTGGTTGTTCAGGTAAATTATCGACATCATGATAGCTCTGTACCCTCGCTGGTTCTTCTAAATGACTTTTCTCTTCAGTAATAACAATCAATTATTTATTAAAAATTCGAGTTTGACTCATTTCGTCGAACCGCCTTTCGAAAAATTTTACAATTAAGTATCTTCAAACAACTGATCCATTATTGCTCAAATTTTTTATTATAGCTTTAGTTTTCAGAGTTATATGAGCAGTTAAAATGTCAACTGTATATTTCTTTCTTTGATAGAATAATTAATCAAATATAATGAAATCTTAGTTAAGTGTAGAAAAACTCTTGTTGTATAGCATAGGCATAATGCATTCTTAGAGAAATTATTTTTCCATATTTTCAGTTTTTCATATGAATCATACTAAAAATTTGCAGTTTACCAAAATATCCGTGATCGAAGCATCTCTCTATGTACACACTAATGGAAATAGTCAAAATTTGAATAATAATGTATGATGCAGGTAAATTTTGGCCTTTGAATTTTTGACTAAAGTAATGTCAACCAACTTTTGTAAATCTAGTTTATTGTCTATTTCGAATATGGCATATACTCCTCAAAGATGAAGAACATTTATATACTCGCATTAGAATCTGAAAATTAACTAAAAATTCTGAGCTCAATTTTAGGTACTTTGTTGAGAATCTAAGAAAATGTTATTTGACACCATTTTTATAAGCTTCAATAAAAGTGGTTTAGAACACAGCTGCTCTCTAAGTCACTTATTGTACGTCCTAAACAAATATTGGTTGACTTTGATATTTATTTCAGGCAGTGGCTTTTTTCTAATGAAAAACTCACAGATAATTGGCAATCATAGCCAACTAAGAGTCTAATATCATGTTTCGACTTCATTTTCAGCATCCTAATCTTTTCTCAATATAACTGAATGGATATATATATGTATCAAATATTCAATGCATACCTTATTCATAGGTTAGACTACTTGTGAAAGCACTCTCATCATTAGTAACACGTAAACTTTTGTGCTCTGAAAAAGTTCAAACAATATTCAATTTCATAATGATTTCGTAAGTATTTATAAAAATGACTTTAACAATTTCTTGAATAGAGTTGTCTTCGATGTTCAAAGGTTTGTAATTGTTTTGTTATTACTTGCTACTGGTAAGTGTCACAATGTAATTTTAAAACTTTCTTAAATATTATTAATACAGCCCGCCATGAAGCAATGGCTGGTTTTACATCGAACGATGAACCACCCTGTTCAATCAATTATGATTGTGAAAATTTCTCTCTGGCTGCTGGAGGTCAAATCTGTGCCGACGCTACAGTATCTTGTTCACAAATGTCACCTTGTGATTCAATAAATATGTCATGTACTGAACCAAACACTGTTTGTGTAACAGATACACGATGTAGAAGGCCTGTTTGTTATCCAACAGCAGCGACTGATACAAAATTACGATGTCCCCCTAATAATGGTGATGGTATGTAGTTATTTGAATTATCGATACACTTAATTTATTGAAATCATTTTCAACTGAATCTTTTTCAGGAATGAAAAGTTTTCATTACAATCTCTATAGAAATCAATTGTGAAATTCTTTAAAGTCAATGCACATTAAGACGAAAACATTAGTTGCATAGCTACTGATTCATCAAAATGTCAATAGAGAATCATTTTCAAGTGTCTATATCACTCTGCAATAGGAACAGAAAAAACTAGTATTTGAATATAGGAATTTCAAAATCGTTCTGAAGTTAAAACTCAAATACTCTAGCCCTAAAGGGAATATTTCATGTTTCTACAAGTGTAAATTCATTGTTCCTACAGTGTCGGTCGATCAGCTACTACATATCCTTCAAAACCATAGCTCATAACAATGTTAAAACTTAAATTTCACAAAAAAACTAGCGCCATTTACATGGATTTTCTTCTAGTGTGTCGATATGGCAAACTACCAATTCAATTTGATGATATTATTAATGTTTGCACTTACAGAAATATTCCCAGCACATATGCTCAGTTTCAATGGCACAATGTTATGGTTGTGTGTTCGGCTCCCTACAGATATACAGGCTATGGCACAGTTCTACGAAGTGGTGCATATGTAGCAGCCAATATAGAGAGCAATCCGATGACAATAACCGCGATGGATGAAAAAACATTTACCCTGGATTCATTCTATGCATCTGTTGCTTGGGCAGAAGTTGCCAATGCAACTTTTACAGGCTTACGTAATGGCAAGGGAGTTTATTCTCGAAGCGTTAAACTCTCTGTAAGAATTTCTGAATATATTCAACTAAACTGGTATGGAATTGATACCTTTCGAGTTGAAACAACGAAAGGTGCTAATATGGCCTTTGAAAACCTTTGTATCTCTTATTGAGTAACTTGGTTTTTTTCTCTGTTATTAAAAATGAAATGGCTTAATCTAAGCGTATAATTAAACTCAACTTGTAAATTGTCAGTAATGAATTCACAATTTGCCAGTCGAAAGTTAACACATTTTTAAAAAAATATGCCGTGCACACTAAAATAAAATGTGTCGCACTTTGCGTCACATTTTATTTTAGTGTGGGTGATGGTCAACTGGTAAAGCTTTGTGTGATTTCAAAAGAGAGACGCATTATTTTTGCTGCACTATTCTTGTATGAAAAAAGAGTTCGATGTGGACTCTGAATGAATATGAGTGTCGTTTGTGCATATCATTTAATTGAAAAAGAAGTAATGAAAAGATTGACATATTTGCAAAAAGATTAGAATCAAAGAAGAGCAATTTTCTATTTTGCAATGATTACTATTCATATTATAGATTTTTTCCTTCTTTAAAAGATAGAAAGCCAATTGCATTCAGTTAGGTAGTTAAACATTTAATTAATTATAAAATCATTGAATATTTATTTCGTAATAAGAATTGATTACTTGAATCATTACATTAAATCTGCTATGTCTTTGTTTCTGCGTTATATATATTAATATACAAAAACTTTTAAATGTGACAGAGGCTCATAAAAATCATCCATGTGATAAAAAGCGGGTGAAAACCGGCGGCTAACCGAGGTTTTATTGGTCCAGTTACCGGTTCCCAAAACTGCGGTAAACCGGCGGTTTTGTCCCGTAAGGTTCTGGGGTGTGGGTGTAAGGTTGTATTTTCTTATACTAGTCACCCACATCCAGAGATGTTCATGACGGCGCAATAGCGGTAGTTTTTAGAGTGTTAAAATAGAAGACAAGAAAGAAGGGTTTCATCCACATTTTCTAACAAATCAATGATTCAATCCTTTGTAAGACATCTAAGCTCATCGAAAAATGGTTGACAGATTTCAAAACCATTCTATTCTTGACTCTTCTTAAATCGACGAAGGTAAATAAATAGTCGAAATATCGTTGTCAAACAAGCAGCAATGCATATTTCGAAGAAAACCATACTACGATAAGTCACTAATATCTCATCTCTTCGATGGTTACTCAAAAGTGTTGGGTCAAGTTCATAAGTTTTTTATTCTACAGTACTGTTAACAAAAATCCAATGCAAGTTTTCACACTGTAAAAGAACGACCAAATATTTTTATAAGAGCTAGATTTTCTTCGTAACTCGGAAATATTGCATTCAGACGCTAACTGTATCTTTATCTGACTAACGTGAGGAGCTTGAATGACTAAATATTATCATGGTTAACAGAAGTTCGTCTAATTAACCATTGTACTATGGGGCACCTGCGACGAAAAGCTCTTGTTTGTTAAGTTGGCCGTTCAAAGACGTACACTTTTTTTCCATCTGAAGTTTTTAAAGAACATAAAGAACACTTTGCTTGTGGGAAACAAGAAATGAAGCCTCAAAGTTGTGTTTATTGGTGTTGGTAAGCAGAAAGTCAATTGTGTTGCATGTTTCCTGTTTATAGAACACAGAGAAGTATAAATTACTTTGGTTCTTGTAACTTCTTTCTTAAAGTAACAGACTCTACAGGTTCCGACTGGTTTTTTTTTCTAATTTTTTTGTATCTTATTCGTTGGAAATGCATGTAGGGATGATAATTTACATTTGGATTTCCTTTAGAAATGTACACGTAAATGATATCATTTGGTTTCACGCACTTTTGTAAATGAAAAGAAACGTAAACTATAGCGCTTGAATGTACGCTTGTTGGAACAAGTAATTTTATTTCAAAATCGAGAAACACAGCATGCAGTTATATGTTGGTTGTTCATAAAAGTGGAAAGTCATTTGTACTTTTTGTTGCAGAAACAGAAAAAGAACTAAACACAATTAAACGGGCAAGGATAAAGTTCTGTATCAATTTTGTTTTCATTACCGCCTCTTGCATTAATTTTAACAATACATTATTTTCTTTTTCATTAGAAAGCCTGAAAAACCATCGCCATGTTTTTTATGCACTCAAAAAGTGAGTCGACTATAAAATCCGTTAGTACATTCGGCTGGCCATCATCATGATAGGTCTTCAGAATATGAACTGATTATGGTAAAAACTTTTTATACAGAATTGTCTTATTGATATCTCGACTGAGCTCAGAGATGAAAATGTTTGGTTTAGATGTTCATGAATTACTAACTGAATACTGTCACATTGAAAATATTTTGTGAAATTTCAACAAAACGGCGACTCAACATCTTTCATGCTACTCTATATTCGATTATATTTGTGTTGAGCACTCCCATTTTTACTTGTATTAATGCAGAATTTCAGGAGCTATAGAACAGAATAAAGATGACACATTATCTTATTACTATGTTAATATTCAAAATATTTTATCAGAGTTTGATGAAAATTAATCTAGTATCAGTTATTTTAACTTTTGATATATAAATAATATTCAGATTTAACTTAGAATTTTTCACATTTATTTTCTTGCTAACTTTATGTTTTTTTTATTTTTAATATAAAAAGATGGAAGAAAAGCAGTAAGACTGTTCGTCCAAATTTTCTATGAAGACGAGTGTCGATTATAATTTGAAAATTACACAGATCTCTCTCAACAAGAAGTTTATCATAAATCATCTAATTTCTTTGCTGAAATACGTATCGAAAAAATTCACTTATTTTATTTGACTTGTTAACTTGCTCATATGCGTAACGAAAGCTTGGATACAATGCATTACAGGTGGAGCTGAACTTTCCCCTGACCCCACCACTAATTCAGACAACTGGTGTATAGTACGATTTTTGGTGACCATTAAATGAAATTGGAATAGTCCAAAAAATTATTGAACAATTGCTTAATCGTCTACAAAATATTACATCATTTGTACAAAAGAAATTCCTCTCTAAAAAGATGGATGACTATAAAATTAGATTTTTGTTTATCGTACTTTTTTATGTTAAAATTATAGAAAAGCATGTTCTTATTCGGTTTGGCAGTCATTATAACATCTTCTCTCGACTTGTCAACATTTATAATGAATTTAGAATTATCAAAACTCTGTCTGAAGTTGATATTTTCTATTTTTCAAAAAGGCAAATTTTTCATCCCGTTTTCTAGAGTTTGTTCTGTTCTTTCTTTTTTGAATCATATAAAAATTATGAATTTGATTTCTCCATGAAAAATCAGTTTCGTTTTTAAAGATCCTTTAAGTTCTTGAAAAATTTACTGTTCATTTCTTTTTCCCATATTTTTACAATACATTAAACGGTATTGATTTCTCTTCGGTATGTCCTCTCTGAAACTATGTACACATTCATTTGTAGTGAGTCATTGTGTGATTATTTTATGTACGTATATATCTTTAATCGATTAAATGTAATAATTTCCGTTCAATATGTTATGCATTTGAAAAAAAGTAAAACTACTAAAAGAAAAAGAAAAATTGAGTTAAAAAGAAGCGGAGAATGATATAAACATGCCGTCTTTACCTTTAGTATAGTCATATTTATTGATTATACAACCACGTGTTTTTTCTTCTCTTCTTTGTTCTGCACATTTTTTCTTCTTGTTTGAATCATATCTTTTTGTCACATAAACACACAAGGTAAAGTATAAATTATGACATTTTTACTATACTTTTTTTTTGTCATTATATAAACATATAAAAACTTGAATTATAATACAAAATTAAAATACATATTGTTAATTTGTAAGATTTAAATAAAAATAAGCACGTTTTATATTCCCATAATTATTTTAGATGAATTTTATATTTAATAGAAAAGGTTTTTAGAATAAGTCCACAATATGTTTAAAATTACTTATCTTGATTGTTTTTATTATATATATAAACCAGTTCAAAATTTAAAAATACAATATAGATACTATACTTTTTTTTATTATCCTCTCATTGTTTCTATTGATATTTGTTCAATAGAAAAGAAAAATATTCGAATCTGGTATGTTTTAGTATTCTTTAATTTTTATATCATTTCAATCTAATCTTTGTGAAACAGAATCTTCAACGAGTGATTTAAAAATAATCATCAAACAATTCCATTTCGTAAAATTTTTATGAACTTAAGAAAGTACAATGACACTCTTCGAAATATTTTGCCATGAAATTAGTTGAAACACTCTTGTAACATCATATAAAGTTTAATAAAAAAAAAACTCATTGAAGTTGTTGTGACACTAAACGAAATATTATCGATATCGTTAAGAAATAGTATCTTTGAAATTCGACAAAATCTCTGTACACTTTAACATGTACTTAAAAAAGTTTCATCTTCGCTCTACCTCCAAAGATAACATTAACAAGTTGAAAAGTTTTCCAAAATGTTAGGAAATCAAATGGAAACAACTCTTTCGAAATTATCTTATTCTTCGAAAAATTGACCATTAGCTAGGACTGTGACATAATCATTTCATTTTTTAAAAGAACTGTTCCATATAGTTCCCGGTTCTTGTAAAAACTACTGTTGATGAAACAATTCTTTAAAACAGAACTGGTAATGTCATAGGTCTACTGCGAGAAACTTTTCAAAGTTTTATAGAAAGTCTAGAAAATCTTCGTGGATCTTTGATAAAACCTTTAAGACGCTTTGCGAAATTTTAAATGACTTTAGCAATAAAACAATGGCTTTTTGTTTATAATGAACTTCTCAGAGAATAAATTTGTAAAATTTTCTAGAAAAGCAATATATTTGTGCCATACGTGTTTTTCAAGCATTTAATAAAATCATGCAAAGAAATCTCTCCAGATGTTCCGCTTTGTTTTATTTGTTTCTGTTGTACATTTTAAGTTTGCACATAAATACTGCTATTAGTACAAAGTACAAAGCGATTATATTTTCACTTCTCAACTTTGCTCGTGCTAATAGTAGACGGTGAGAACTCTTTCGAATAACACGTGCATGCCACTTTTTAATATAAAATCTTTTAGATAATAATTAAAAATGAAATTGATTATTTCAATATTATTTTTTATGTTTTCAATCATATTCATATTATTTTGCATGTACAAATTCCATAAATATTTATGTAAATTAACTTATGATTATCCATTCCAAGATCCAACATTACCAATGGATATAAGATTAGACAATCTCATGTCACTGTTAACTCCAGAAGAAAAAGTAATATTAAAAATTTATTTTTACAATAATCTTATTAATATTGACTATAATTATATATTTTTATTTTTATTTTTTTTTTTTTTTTAAGATCAATATGTTATGGATGGATGGAACAACACCAGGTATTAATATTTATAGATCTTAATATTAAATGTAAAAATTATCAATTATTTCGGGTTGTCTTTTATAGATGGAGAATTACCTGATTTAGCTGTTCCACGTTTAAATATTCGTGGATATTCTTGGATGGGACAAGGATATGTTTATCGATCAGCATCAAATGGTTGTAATATTAATTGTTATAGTTCTGTAACTGATGGAAATGTTTCTGTATTACCACAAGGTACAGGAATTGCTTCAACATGGAATAAAAATTTAATTTTTCAATCTGGTATTATGATTAGTGATGAAAGCATGGCAATACAATATAATTATAAAAATAAAAGTATTGATTATAAAACTGGTGCATCAAGTGTTATTAATATTGCTAGAGATCCAAGATGGGGAAGAGTACCAGAAACATATGGTAAATAATAAATTTAAATATTTATTATTTACCATTTTAGTATTTTCTTCTATTATAAGGTGAATGTCCAATATTAACTAGTGAAATAGCAGTAGCTTTCAATAAAGGTCTTATGGGTTATGCAAAATTAGAAGATACACAATTAGAATATGGAATTTATAAAGTTATACCTGTTATGAGGTAAAATTTTGTAAATATATTATTAAAAATCATTATTTTGCATTCGATTCTTCATATAAGATTTCTAAAAATTTGTGGTTTTGTAAATATAATATGTTAAATGTATATGGTAAAGGCATCGCTCTTTTTAGCGTTTATCTAGTTGAAATAGGTACTTATGTTGCATTATCAATAGAAAAAAACCTCATAAATAGTATGGATAGAAGTTTAATAATCGTTGGAAAGTTTTAGTTATGCCAATCATCTACTTAAAATTTAGTAATAACGATGATTGACTACTACTTATGAAGTTTATTGATTTTTTTTAAAAAAAAAAGAGTATACATGAGATATTGGATCTTAATTCTAAATCAATATTAATATAATAGAATATTTTTCTTAAAAATGAATTAATTTTTATTATTCAATTTTTAAGACATTTTATTGATTATAACGGTCCTGATAATGGTAGATTTAGTTTTAATGCAATTATATCTGATGCTGATTTAAGGTAAAAAAAATGTAAATAATTATCTACTGAATAATTTGTTATTTATTATTTTTAGAATAACATATTTACCTGTATGGAAAAAAACTTATTGATGAAAAAGCAATTGTTGGTATAATGAGTAGTATAACTGCAGTAAATGGTATACCATCAGCAGCAAATAAATATTTATTAAATGATGTATTACGTAATGAATGGAATTTTACTGGTTATGTTATTAGTAAATTTGTTTTCTTTTTTTAATGAATTTTCTTTTTCTTTTTCTTTTTTTCTTGTTCTTATTCTTCTTTTTTTTTCAAGGTGATTGTGATCCCATAGCTGATATACAAAAATCATTTCATTATACATCAACATTAGAACAAGCTGTTGCTATATCTATATCATCTGGTAATGATATTAATTGTGGTGCAGAATTTAAATTATTACATAAATCACTTACATATGGTTTTGTTAATTTTGATAGAATTAATTTAGCTTTAAGTCGAGGTTTACGTTCAAGATTTTTAAGTGGTAATTTTGATCCAATTGGTACAGATCCATATTCTTCAATACCATATTCAATTGTTGATAGTTTAGAACATAAATTATTAACAAAACAAATTGTTAGTGAATCAATTGTTTTATTACAAAATCCAAAACAAATTTTACCATTTAATATAAAAAAAATAAAACAAATTGCAGTTATTGGTCCATCATCAAATGATATAACTGTTCAAGCACATACATATCATGGTACACCAAGTAAATGGATAACAATATTAGATGGTATACAATCAATTGCATTAAAATATAATGTAAATGTTGTTTATACATGGGGTGCATCTAGAAGAAATAATAGTGATGAAGATTTTTTACATGCATTAGAATTATCTAGTCAAAGTGATATAATTTTATTTGTTGGTGGTTTAGATGAAAGTTTTGAAGAAGAAGATATTGATCGTAATACATTAAAATTACCTGGTGGACAATCAGAATTAATTAAATTAATAATGAAATTAAATAAACCATTTGTTATATTAATTATATCTGGTTCACCTATATCAGAACCATTTATTGTTGGTGAAAATCTCGCAGCATTATTATGGATATCATATTTTGGACAAAGTGGTGATGGAATTGCTGATATATTATTTGGTTTATCTGTTCCAAGTGGTTGTTTACCATTTACAATACCAATGAATATAAGTCAAATATTACCAATAGATGATTATTCAATGAATAAATCACCAGGTAGAACATATCGTTATTTAGATTATAATAAAGCACCACCATTATTTCCATTTGGTTATGGTTTATCTTATTCAAAATTTATATTTAATTCAAAATTATTAATTTATCCTAATCAAATAAATAATCTTGATACTGATATTATAGCAAATATAAGTATCATAAATGAAGGTCCATTTCGTGCACAATTTGTTATACAATTATATTATGAATTTTTAAATTCAACAGTAATTGAATTACCAATACGTGAATTATTACAATTTACTAAAATAACATTTGAAAAAAATGAACAAAAAACTATTTCATTTACATTTCGTATTAGAAATATTCCAAATTCAAATCGACAACAAATACCAGGTATTATTAATTTTTGGATTGGTAATAGTCGTGATAGATATGTAGAAGCATCACTTGTTATTGATTTTGATTCATAATTTATTTTTAAAAAAATATAACTAATAGTTTAATGAATAATTTTTCTGTGAACATTTTTTGTCTTATTAATTTTTTTCTAATATTAAATATCCTTAAAAAGAAACGAAAGAAAAGTTTTAGCCAATGAATAATAGTTATCAATTTATTTATGGAATGAATTATAAGTTAATTTTTACTCTCAAGAACTGTGTCTATACTGATCAAAAAAGAATTTTACATGAAAATAATAATCGATATTATCGTGTTGGAAGATTTTATCATAGTTTATAAAGTGATATACAACAATATAATTCATATATATTCAATTTTGATTGTATGAAGTTGTTCTACGATGACAACAACAATAAATTAATATTGATAAATGGTATTTAAGAGAGAATCCATGAGACCATCATCGACACTTTTTCTACAGAGACATAACATGATCAAAATTCAAATTCAAGTTTGACTCTGTTCATTCTATTACCCATATCGAGATATCTATTCATGCAAAACAAATCAAAGAATGTGATGAGCAAGATTTTGATCCGAATTTTGTCACAACCCGACCAAAATCGACAAATCAAGAAACTAATTTTAAATTGAAAAATAATTTATTTTTTATAATACAATTAACTCAGATATTGATGAATTCAAATGACAAACTACGAATTATCTCTGAGAAAATTTGTTTATTACTTTAGTACTTTTCCCAAGATCAAAAATTTTCCTCTTACAATGTCATTATCGAATATAACAGCTGAAGTATATTCAAGACCTAATTCATATACTAATCGATAAATATGACTTTGCTTAGCATAACTTGCACATTCTCATTCAATCAAATGATATACAACAATCATTGATGAGTTCGAAATAATTGTCAATATTTATAATATCTGTATTTATTAATTGTTTTTAAATACTAGTTTGACTGGAAAATCGTTCGAAAAAAAATTCAATCTTATAAATAATCATAAATCGATGAGTTTTATGTTATGCAATGTGCGATATTGTTCTCTAAATAGAACGACATATCTATGCCACATGATCAAAGAGTTAACATCATACTCTTCATAATCAACAATCATTACGGGTTTACCGATTAATAAGCGGGAAACTATGTTAAATCTGTCAAATTATGAGAAACATAAATATAAAATCAAGGATAAAATGACTGACTTAATTGACTTGCAAATTAAGGCCCCATCTCTCAAAAGTCTATCTCAGCCCAGGAACATCCAAATTGCATGAAACTTTCAGGATATGTTGGGACTGGAGAGGGGAGACTACCATAAAATTGTCGGCCCGAAATATTCAGGTTTTAGGGAGATATGAACCAAACAAGGGTAAAAAATGACTCATTTGGCATCCCAAAATTTTCGGTCCTGGTTCGTTCAATATATTAATATTTTTTTTTGTTGGAAAGAGCATCTCAAGATGCAGGGCATGATGGGGCCGTTTTTTTGAAATAGTCCCTTTTTAAGCGCAAAAAAGGGATCACAAGTTCAATTACTGAAAAAAGTGTGAACAAGTGGTAACCAAATCATATAACTGGCTGTATATTGACCAAACAAAGCCTTATTTTTAAAAAATGGCCCCATCATGTCCTGCGCCTTGAGACGGCAGTTTAAACAAAAAAAAATATTAATGCATTGAACGAACCAGGTACGAGAAATTTGGGATGCGCTTTTGAGAAAGCGGAAACTGAGAAAAAACGAAAAACATTTTTTGATTTTTCAAGAAACAGCTGGTTTTTCGAATAGGGGTTGACGGAAATCTTGAAAATTTGTTGGGAAAAATGAAGTAACGAGAAAAACAGATCATCGTTTATGAAAGAGCAGATGACGGGCTATCTTCCCATGTATTTATCTCAGCTTTGACCATTCCAACGAAAACTGACATTTTATGAGGGGGGAGAGGGGGGGGCTTAAATATTAATTTTTCTCTACTGACTTATAATTCTATTGATCAATGGAGAAAACTGTTCTTTTTCGAGTTACATGAAATTGAAACATCTACATTCTCCTGTTCAAAATATATAAGGTGGTCTTTTTTAGATATCTTCGGTTTTGGTAAGAGGAGTAAATGGTCATGCTCCATCGAGTGAGATAGCGGGAAATTTTGATATTTAAAAAAAAACATCTATAGTCGCCTCAGGTCGCTTTTAAAATGTAATCAGACGTCATCACTCAACTGAACATGTTCATATATTCCGCTTTAGAGATATTTTCTAATGATCAGCGGTCATCTTACCGTAACCCAAAGTCTTTCGAAAACTTCTATATCTATTGAAGGAAACAAACTAGGGATTTTAGCTGTCTCTATCAAACATTACAATTACAATTACAATTACAATTAATAAACTAACGAACTATGTCTTCAAAATGTTCATCTAGAATT